AGGAATGCGGCAGCCCTTAGCGAGGGACCCACATTTCCCTGGCGGTGCTTAGAGAGAGAGGTCTGTCCGCCTTGTCTGTCTGCCTGGACACGTATATTTAGCCATCTTACTATTTATACATCCATAATCTTTTTTTTTTTTCCCCCGGCCACGTCGTGGGGGCCTTAAGGGGAAGGGGGGAGGTTTGGGAGGGTTTTGGGGGGAGTTCAGAGCGAAGCTGGACCAAGATGGGTTTTAACCCATCCCAAATCCCAGGATTTGTTGATTTTATTTGATTTCTCGGTTACATTTATTGTGTTGGTTGGTTGGGTTTTTTTCCTCTCCAGCAAGGCCCGAGGATGCTCCTTGTTTTGTTTTGTGGGGTTGTTTGGTGGGTTTTTTTTTCCCCCTCCACCCCCCATCCCTGGGCCCCCGCAGTCCTTGGGACATTGAGCCGGGTTTGTTTTTTATTTCATCCCGGGCGATAGCGGCTTCGAGCCCGAGGCCTTTTTGGGATTATAAAGTGATATTTTGGTGGAGAGGTGAAAAAGTTTTTAGTCCCTCCCGGCGTGCAATTTGCCGAGAGGCGGAGGGTCCAGGGCCGAGGGGATGGATTTCAACCCCAATTTTCCAGCCAGCCTCCCCATCCCTTGGCTTCCCAGGCAGTTTGGGGATGACCCGAGCTTAAAAAAAAACCAAGAAAAACCATTGCTTTTTTTTTTATTATTATTTTTTCTGTGTTTTGTTTTTGTTTTGTTGGTTTTTTTTTGTTTGGTTGGTTTTTTTTGTTGTTGTTGTTGTTCTCTCTATTTTCAGGAAAAACCCCACGTTCCCACGGGTCGGGTAGGTCGGAGCTGCTTCGCTTTTGTTCCCCGGCTCCGGGATGTGGCGCGCCGGGGGCTGGCGGTGGGTTCGGGGTGTGTGAAGTTCTCCTCCTTGTCCCCCCCGTAGAAAAACGCCCCGCGTGCAGCACCCGGGCTCAGCTAGAGCTGGAGATGGACGCGGATAAGGGGAAGCAACGCCAGTACTCGCAGAGGCGGGCCTGCCAGCTTCATCCAGAGGGGCGGGGGGGGGGCAAAAAAAACCCAACAACCCCTCTCTCTATATATTTACATTCTGAAAATAACGCCTGTGGGTTTAATGATGTGGATGCACGGGATTATCTATGTGCACATAGGGATGATCTATGTATGCGCATGATCATACAGGTATTGTTATTGCTCCTTCGTAAGGCAGGTATTTCCATCTGGATGTGTGTATTTATACGTCAGTGGGGGCTGGTTTTGGGGGGCACTTGCCCTGCGTGGAGGGGACTGGATGTGGTGGCAGAGGGGACCCCGCACGTGGCATGTGACGGCTCGGAATCTCCCATTTAGGATGCGTGTGTATGTGTGTCTGTATGTGCAAAATAAGCCTTCCCCCCCCCACCTCTCCCACCCCCCCAATATGTTTTTTCCCTCCCCCAAAAGCAGATGTGGGGTTTGGGTCGGCGGGTGCGATGTCACAAGTGCATGTTGGACTCGGTCTGCTCGCTGCCCCCTCAGGGTGAGCCCTGCTCAGCCCCCCCTGCCTCGGTTTCCCCACCGCCGTGGTGGTCCCGTCAGTCTGTGGGGTCACCCATGGGGGCTCTCCTGACCCCCCCCCCTTGCCGCCCCGGGGGGCTGGCTGCCCCCTGAGCTGGCTTGTTTGCAGGCCTTTTGTGGTGCCCTTGCTGGTCTCTTTTCAGCGGGTGGGTGTATTTGAGAGTCTGGGGGGGCAGGTAGTCCCCCCACCAGCGCTGAGATCGGTGTGTTTTGGGTGGGGGGGCACACAGGCCCCATGTTCGGTTTCCCTGTCCCTGTGTCCCCTTCGGTGGGTCCCATGGGTGACAGGACAGATGGACAGCATTCCCACCCCTAGGATTTGGGGTTGCGCCCCATCTTTGGGAGCCTGGCTCCCCCCTCCTTCATCCCTGGGGAGGGGGGACACACGGACCCCACGGTCAGCGCGGCTTTGCCTCCCTTTTTGCTTCATGCCAGTGCTTGGCTCCTCGTCCCGGTGCCCGCGTGCCCCCTTTCCCACGTGGGGACCCCCATACCAGGATGGGGTTTGCGTCGGGGCTCGTTTTGGGTCGGTTTTGCTGACAATCTGAAGGAGAAACACCAGCGAACGGCCCTTCAGGGGGCGGAAGTGGGGGGTTTAATTGGTTCCATCTTGGGTGAATTCTTCTGGTGGGCGGTCGGGCCCCCCTCCCTGAGCGACGGAGATGTCGGGTCTCGCCGGTTGTTTCTGCTTCCCTGGCCTCGCCTGCCTTCTCATTTGGGGTAAATCCCACCTGGATGAGGGACAATGCAGGTGGGGAGGAGTGTGGGTTCCCCGAGGATGGAAGGAGGACGGTGCTGGGTGCTGCTTCCCACCTTCTGGGGTTTTAGCAGAGGGCCACTTGCTTTTCCCTCGGAAAACTCTTGTGCTCAGGGCAAACCCCGCTTTGCACGTGGGAGGAGGCCTGTCCTTACGGGGAGCTATGGCCTCGTGTTTGGGGGAAACTGAGGCACGGTGGAAGGCAGAGCTGTGTTCTGCCCTCACCCATGAGCAACACGAGGTGGCAGGGACGCGGCCACACCGGTGTCACCATCCCCCATGGGTCCTGTCCCGTGGTGGCAAAGGTGTGTTGGGGTTTGGGGGCACATGCACGGCACACCCCACCCCGCCTGGCTCTCACCGTCCGTGCCACCTCTGCTTGGCATGGGGAGGGGGGGTCTCTGCCTCGCTGCTCTCACCGGGGCCCTCGGGGACAGGACGCTGTGGTGGGGGATGCCAGGGCCTCGGCTTCTCGCTCAGTCCCGCGTAGAGACTCTGGCCGCTGCTCCACTCACCCCAAACCCTCTCCCGACCCCCCGTTTC